AGGAGCTCTTCCTGCTGAATGTTTCATTGCATCTGCAGCCAGCCACAACCTGGGCTTGTGAGAGAGCAAAAACGTGAAAAGTTAATGAGAGAAAATGAAACAGTGCATTTTCAGAATCTCATTCGGTTTCATGTCAGACCTGACCTGAAGAACCCAGAGAATTCTTCATTTATTCTTTATTTCTTTTTAAATCTTCAGGAGCAATCACAAGTGTAGGTTGCACTGCTGTGGTAAATATTTCCTCCTGAGAGGAGTCCCTGATGTTGAAGACCTCAATGCAGCATTTGGTGCTTGTCCTGGAAAAATATCCAGCTTCAGTGCAACATTAGCCAATAATTAATGTGATCTTAGGATAGGAAATGTTGGCATCTCCTTCATTCTTTATTTGATCTTTGGCCTGGGACTGTAATTCAGTGTTTCAGCTTCTGTGCAGGGGATTTGTTGTAAGTGCACTTTCCTTGCTTTGCTCTCACAGTGCTCTGGGAATGGGTTTTTCAGAAAAAGTAAATCAAAGCAGAAGGTGTTTGAGGAGCTCTGACATGCCTCAAGATGCTGCTTCAAATGATCTGGGGTGCAGGGTAGCTGGTGGCCTGAATTCAGGTCAGAAAAGAAACTTGGTATTGTTGTTAGCAACACTTCAGATATGAGCGGAGTCAGAAAAGCACTCAGACTGAAACTCATGGACATTTTTCCAGGGAAAAGCAACTGTGGAGTGTGAGTCATGAACATCTGTGGGAATTTCACACTTCCATGATCACATCATCAAAACAGCAATATTTAGAGACCAAATTTGCTCCCCCCATGCCCTCATAAATAAATTATTTATGTAATATATATATATAACAAATTATTTCAGAAAGGGAAAATTTATTCTGTTGAACTCAGCCCTTAGAAAGGCTGTCAATCACAGAAACATAATCAAAAGATATTTTCAGCAAGGTGAAGGTTGTCAGAAATGTGCTTTTACTGTTATTTCACCTTGCAGGTGCATTGCAGTATTAAAGTCCTTTGCCTACCTGTGACCTAAGCATAACTTTAGCCACAGAAATTAGACTGGCAGAGTTCCCATTAAGAGTTTCTGCTGTTGGAGGATGAATTATCAACCACACTTTTCATAGGAAAACCTCTAAATTTAGCTGCTAGGGCAAAATTTATGATATTGGCCTCATTAAGAAATTTTTGTGTGAGACCATCAAGACCTAAGAATAGTATGAATGGTATAATGAACATTAAAGTCTTAATTCCCACAAAATATACACTTATTTGTGTGCTTCATTTACCTGTATCTGTAGGTAAATTCACAGTTTTGCCTCTTAATTGCATGTTGAAGTGCTTTGTTTGAACAAGATTTAAACCCTGTATCTCCCCTGGGATAGGAGATTGTCAGGCTGCTATTACAGAGCTGATATTTCTCCATTCCCAGATCCCAGTATCTCTGCTTATGAGGAGTTAGACCAGCACAGACTTGCAGGAATTGAAGAGGGTTACAGGTATGGCTTTTATGATGTGGGCTGAAGAGGAAACATGGTGCTTTTCTCTGCCCTTCCATTTGAAAAGCTGAACATATTCCAAAACTGATGGGAAATGCTCTTTAAGTAAAAGAATTGTTTGTCTGCTTTGCCTCTGAAAGAGGATGGAATGATTTCCTAAATGCATCTTTATTGGACACAAGAGCCACAAAGGCAGTCTGGACTTATCTGGCATTCTTTATTTAGACCAGAAGGAAATAAAATAAATGAGTAATTTAGGCAACAGAGATGAGCACAAGTGTTTTCCTTGCCTGCTCCTACAGCTGTGTGATGCAGAACAGCTGAAACTGCAGCACAGCAGCTGTAATTACCCTGCAGGAGTGAAGGAAACCAGGCTGGCTCTGCAAAAGGTGGGGTTGTGACCAGGGCTTCAATTGAAGAGGCTGCAGCAGCAGGACAAAGCCATCATGACAATGAAACTGCTTTCAAATACCCCCCCAGACTGAGATTGCAAAGTGAGCCCCTGCTGGCTTGAGCAGGGAGCTCAGCTGCACATCCAGGTGCTGTTCTTGCTGTAGGCAAACCTGGAATGAGAGGTAAATTCAGATTTCAAGAGATGAGGTGGAGACTGAGCTGGTTCCTGGGTGTTTCTCCTGCTGCTTTTAAGGGACAGGGATTTCCCCCAGTGCCCAGGTACCAGAGCTGCCTTGGTGCCCTGCTGGGACTCCTGGGGGAAGAATAATTGGCAATAAAGGACACTGAGATGTGGCCATTTAGCATTGCTGCTGCAGGGAACCTCCCAAGAACACACTTCCACAGACAAATGTTATTAACTCTGAATCCAAGCCCTGTCTCTTTTGACTGGAATTGTTTCATTTGATCCAGACATCTTATTAATGCTCATTTCTAAAGTGAACACCTATCCATGGCTGTAAATCACACACAAAATCATGCTTGAATATGGGCCAGGAAGGAAGAAATGTCCCCAACAGCCCCTTCCCTGCATCTTCAACCCTAATGTTTGCTTTTTGTCCCTCTAAACCAGAAATGCTGTAGGTGCATTTATTTATTAAGTTCTTACGTACACAACAAGTGTGTTTCAATGTCTCAAAGCCACAGTTGAATTCCCTCTGTTTTATAATGATTAAATTTTCAGCTGATTAAAGAAAAAAACAAATAATGGGGTCATTTCCAGCTGAATCCATTATGCAATAGATTCACACAATCTCTGGTCATTCCTGCTGTCCAATTTCTGTGGCTTCCCCAAGGTTTTTTCAAACTGGCACAGAGAGTACAAAATCATTAAGACAGCCCTACTGATTGGGTGGCAATTTTCATTGTTTTGTGAAATATTTCTTCAAGTTAAATAAAATGTATTAAAGCAATACTTTAAAAAGTAAAGTTTTTATGAATGCCATAAATCAGTTTCATTTCCTGTATATTTTTCAAAACTAGGCTGTCCTGATTATCTCCAGTAGAAGATAATCTAAGATAAGAAGCAGGGGACACACACCCCAACAAAATAATTTATCCAAAATTAAATTCCCAGTATGACTCAGAATTATTTTTTTTTTCAGTAGTGATATGGCAACTTCAGGTGGATTTTGTTGTATTATAATGAGTAAATTTGAGGTAATCAGAAGAGGCTATATTGAAAAATTTGTCCCCACCATCTCTGTACATTACATATTGTTGTTTTAGTCTACATGCTCCTCTTTTCATTCCTTTATTGATGTTGGAATTTGTATGCATGTGGAAAACATTTATATTCCTAAAGTGCTAATATTCAAATATTATGGCTTTTACTAGAAAACCTAATTTTATTTTAAATAAAAATCAAAAGTCTTCTCTTCTGGAAAACTGCATGAATCCCAACATTGAAAATAAATAAATAAATATCTAAAGGTCTTTGAATGCAAATCCTGCTGCTCTGCTCCCAGTTTGGGATGTCCACTGGACAAAGAGGAGCCAACAGTAGAAGAAAGTATTTTCATTTATTTTCATTCGAGTATTGAATGCACCAAGCACCACGAGATTGATTTCCAAACCTGTCTTGAGGACCAAACTTGTTAAAAAAGGCAGGCAGTTCCCAACAATGTAATTTACTCCCAGTAGAGATCTGTCAGAGCCTGAGACGTCTTTGACTTGGAGTATGATGAAAGATGCAACACTCTATAAGGAAATGAAATTAAAACAATCAGACAATCAACCCAAAATCCTCCCAGCTATTCCTTCCTTTGCCTTTCATTACACATCCTGTTTCTTCTCTGTTTTGGATAATTGAATTGAAAGCTCTTTGAAATGAGGAGCTGTCTGCATTTCATCTCTTATGTAACACTAAGATCACTGTTGGTACTTCAGAAAATATATTCATTTTTACTTTATGTCTTTACTACTTCTGAAGGAGACATTTGGCCCTGGATTTGTGTGGGAACTTCCTAAGGATGACCAAAGAAACAGCAGCATGAATTGACAGCCTGTCACATCTTTCCTGAGGGATTTTAATTTGTTGGGAACTAAGGAGGAGTCTGGGAAATTTCACACATTGCCAGTTTGTGCCTAATAATGCAAAACTGCACCTGAAAGTTAAATACAACCTGAAAGTTAAATACAACCAGGTACATTCCCAGTGTCCAGGGCTGAGTCCCCATCCCTGCAGGGATTTAACAGAGCTGCTGTGCATGTGGCACTTGGGGACAGTGGTGGTGAACATTTCAGTGCTGAGGGAATGATGGGACTTAATGATTTTTTAGGGCTTTCCCAACATAAATGATTCTTTCATACTTTGATAATCTCGTGACGTTTCGCTGAGTGGTTAAAAAGCCAAATATTTGTCTGATAATCACAGAACAGATTTTTCCCAACCTCTTATCTTCCAAAGCCAGAGCTCCAAGCACTGTTTTGCTGAAGTAATGGCATTTGCTTTTCTGTCCTCAAGGATGTGCAGAATTTGGGGCTTAGAGAGATGGTCCTTGGGTCAAAATTGTTCTGTTTGTGTTTAATCACCACCTCTGCAGAGCTCAGCTCTCTCTGAGCTCCCAGGCCTCTGGAACAGATGCTGTTGTGCAATGGGAGGAACTCTGAGTGAAGCTTCCAGAAGAGATTTTAATTAGAAACATAATTTCATACAGTAGCTTGGAATGAGTACAGGGAGGGAAAAAAAAAATCCAAGCAAGAGATGAAAAAGAAAATACCAAAAAAAGAAATAAAAAGGGCGTTTTACTGGTGAAAAGCCCTTGACAGGAAATACTGTGCATATCTGTGAGAAACTGAAGCACAGAGCAAGCAGCAATAACTATCTGAGCTCCTGCAAAGGGTGTAAAGCTGCATTGCCTCATTGATTTTCTGAGAGCTGCCATTCCTCATTGCCCTCAGCACTGCTCTGCTCCTCCATCCCAGCGAGGACCCAGCCAGCTTGGCACTGCCGAAACCCAGGAACTTTGAATACTTGTTTGTTTTGTGTTGTTTGGTTGGCTTGATTTTTGTTTTTTTCCTGTTCAATTAAAACTTAATCGATCTTTTGTTTTGTAGATTGCCCTCCACTTGGTCTGGAGACATTAAAAATTACTGACTTCCAGCTCCATGCCTCCACAGCCAAGCGCTACGGCCTCGGGGCCCACCGAGGGAGGCTCAACATCCAGGTAACAGCAATTCCTCCTCCTGAGTGGGAGAATGGCTCCAGGTTGTGCTGCTGAATAAAGAGAACCAGTGGATACTTATTGGTTCTGACTGCTTTGTCAGCTCGTGTAATTCAAATGGAGGGGAAGCGCTGGGGCTGTGGAAGGGAGGGGGTTTGGTGGATTACCTTTGGGTTCGTGGGCTGGTTGGGGAAATCTCCAGGCTTGGTGTGCAGATCCAGACTCTCTGAGCAAGCAAATGTTCCTTTCCCTGCTGTGGGAACCCAGCACATCCCTCTGGCTGTCCAGGATGGCCAGGACCCCTGCCAGGGGGCTCAGAGACCCTGGCACAGAGCCCAGAGCACCTGTGGGTTTGATTATGACCCGTGGAGCAAGTTACCAACCTTATGTGAAGATCAGCAAGCTGCAACAGTTAAAGTAGAATAATAGTGAATTTATCACGGGGTGGAAAAGTAGATTTTGGGGTTTCTGGTATGGGGGTTCAGGAGGCAAGATGGAGGGATCTGGGCATGTCCAGCCTTTCTCCTTCTTCTTCTTGGCCTCCATCTTCTGCTGTGATGGTGGCACTTTTGGATTGGTTTAGAGTAGAAGCTCACTGTCTAACATAGGTGATAGGTTTTGGGAAGTAATTGTAAACATTGTACAGGTAGTTTTTAGTATAAAGACATAACCCTGCCCTGGGGCAGGCAGAGTGCCTGGAACTGTCCTGCTGGATGGACCTCGGCAGGGCAGGAGAAAATTTTTTATAGATAAGGAACAATAAACAACCTTGAGAGTGAGAAATGGAGAGCTCTGACTCCTTCTTCAAGTGCCAGGCTGGGAAAAGAGACTTTCTAACATTTCTTGGGGTCACTCTGAACAGCTGAAGATCCCGACACCCTGCTCCCTTCACAACCCTCCTGCAAGGAAGCTCTCACAGCAAGTTGCTTTTTCCTTTGTTGTCTGCCTGTAGTTAATGACAATGGTTAATTGAAAGTGTGGTTTCAAGTGAAACCCTTTCCCTAAGGCCGTTTTCTTCAGAAGCAGTGATTATACCATCCAAAAAATGCTTCACTTCAGAACTCTCTAACACAGAACCCTGTTTAGCTTCTTTTGTTTCAGATTAAAAATGTGTTTAGGTGCTTTGCAGGACCAAATGCCATTGTCCCATTTCTCCTGTTTCTGTTTCCTGGCTTATTATTAGGGCTGTTCTCTGAATTACAGTCTGTCCATGCTAAAAATGTTACTTTGCACGATAGAGCCAAACACTTAGAGTCATAAACAGGATATCAGCACTGAGCCAACAGTGAAGGATCTCTGAAGTTTATTTAATTAATCCTTCATTTTAGACCCCTCCATTTGTGTTTCTCCCCAGCTGAAGGGGTTTGATGCTTAGGCTGGGACTAGGAGGGATGAGCTCTAATCAGTAGTGCCACATTCCACGTGGTTCACTCTGGAAGAGCGATTGATTTTAACCAATCAATCTTTGATTTTTCAACCAATTTTTAAATCACTGTGCCTCTGCACAAACATCTCTCTGAGGAAAATGCCTGCATAGCCCTCCTAATTTTTTTATCAGCGTTTGTTTTAATGTCTTCAAGTTGGTCTGAAAGCTGAGAAAACCACTTTGGAATAGGCAGCTGGAGAAGGGGGAGTGGCAGGCAGCCAGGCCAGAGTGGGAACGGGCCCTTCCTTTCCAGCCCAGGTCCATCCAGGCCCTTCCTTTCCAACCCAGGTCCATCCAGGCCCTTCCTTTCCATCCCAGGTCCATCCAGGCCCTTCCTTTCCAACCCAGGTCCATCCAGGCCCTTCCTTTCCATCCCAGGTCCATCCAGCCCTTCCTTTCCAACCCAGGTCCATCCAGGCCCTTCCTTTCCAGCCCAGGTCCATCCAGGCCCTTCCTTTCCAATCCAGGCCCTTCCTTTCCAACCCAGGTCCATCCAGGCCCTTCCTTTCCAGCCCAGGTCCATCCAGGCCCTTCCTTTCCAACCCAGGTCCATCCAGGCCCTTCCTTTCCAACCCAGGTCCATCCAGGCCCTTCCTTTCCAACCCAGGTCCATCCAGGCCCTTCCTTTCCAACCCAGGTCCATGGGGTTGTGTGCAAGGTGAGCTCTCACCTGCAGCCTTCATATTTATTGACTTTGGAGAGCCCACTGAGAGATTTTGCTTCTTTACTCGATATTTTCTGCTAGGAAAAAAACCCCTCATGATCAAAAAAATGAAATGCAGGTGATATTGAGGGGGGTTCTAGAGGAGTGCTTAGTTATTTTATTGCAGTCTTGTTTATATGATGGCATAAAACCAAGGACTGTGATGCAAACTTCTGAGTTCTCTGTTGGTTCTGGCTACTTATTTCTCATGCTGCTCTTGAAGTTCAATTTATTTAAACACAAGACCACACTGGTTTAGACCAGGAGTCCATCCAGTCCTGTCATCACCAGTAGTGTGTTAAAATAAACGGAGAGGTGATAAGTAAATATTATATATATATATATATATATATATAATAAATAGAGTGTTACCAATGGCTGATGTTTCCTCTAAATATAATCTCCAGAGAAGCCAAGGGCACAGTCTTTTACTGGGAAGCAAAGCAGAAGAAAAATGCCACTCAGCCACTCAGCTCTTCCTGAAATTTCCCAAAGCTTGGATTAGACCAATTTTTTTTTACCCCTACTGAAACTATAGATACAATAATTTCCTAAACCCCCTCACCACATAGGGTTACTGCTACAGTTAAAAAAATTGGGCTTGCCTTTATTTTTCTTTAAAAACAGTTTTCTTTGGGCTTAGTTAAAAATTAATAACACTAAAACTTTTCTAAACCTGGGATCTGCATGTCCCTGTCACTGGGGTTTCAGTGCATGAAGATTTCTGAATTTCACTCGTATTTAGAGGGAATTTGCTTAATCCAGGGACAGGTGCTGCAGGTGGCTGATGGGCCAGGTGGGTGATGAGCTCCCTGGTGGTTTCTCTTTGCTAATCAGCACAGGAGGTTGCAGTAAGCTGGGGAAAGGCAAAAAGCTGCTGTGTTTTCCTGCTGCTCAGAGCTGTGCATGAAGGAGAACACTTGGCCAGCTCAGAGACACTGCTGTGCCACTGGAATTCTGTGAACATGTTGTGCTGTGGGGATGGTGACAAGCAGTTTTATGGGCTGCTGCCCCTGTCCAGTGATCTGGATTTCACCACGGAGCTGTCACAATGTTCTTGGGACTGTGGTGCTCCCCCCCAGAATAATACAAAATCCTCTCTCTGCCCAACCTCATCATCTGATGCAAAGTCAGCTGAGACGCTCAGGGCTCTCCCCAGGTAACTGGCACTGCCTCAGCTCTCAGAGAATTTGTAGAATAATTGAGTTTTTCCGAAGCTTGTCAGGGTTTGTTTTGGTTGTTTCATTTTTCCTGTTTAGATTATCTGAAGCACATGAAATGAATCAGTTGGTGTGTGCTTTATTCCAGAGAAGGACAGGCTTAAAGTTGGGTAAGACAGGATCTGCTTCTCTTGTGCCCTTGAATTTTGTGGGCCCTGATTTTCCTCCCAGTCCTGCCTGACTGTGGGGATTAAGGTGGGATTTCTCAAGGGTACGAGCCCTGTAAGCAGAGCCCCATATTTTGGAGATCTAACTGCACTAGTGATGCAACCAGGAGTAATTCAATATCATCAAGGGAAATCATGGCATAAAATAATATTAATTGAGGCTCTCTGCCTTCAGGGATAAAATTCATTAGTATTTGTCACTTATATGGTAATTAAGAGTGGATAATTTGTCAAACTATGTTTCTTTCCCTTCCTCATTTTCCTGGTTGGAGAAATCCAAACACTGAAGATAACCCAAGTAAAGCAATCCCATGTCTGCAGACTCAGGCATTTGTGTCTAAAAGAGACCTCCCTGTGCTCAGAGGGGCTCCAGGAGAGCTGGAGAGGGACTGGGGACAAGGATGGAGGGACAGGACGCAGGGAATGGCTCCCATTGCCAGAGGGCAGGGCTGGATGGGAGATTGGGAATTGGGAATTGTTCCTGTGAAGGTGGGGAGGACTGGAATGGATTTTCCAGAGCAGCTGGGGCTGCCCCTGGATCCCTGGCAGTGCCCAAGGCCAGGTTGGACACTGGGCTGGGAGCACCTGGGACAGTGGGAGGTGTCCCTGCCATGGCAGGGGTTGAAGCTCAATAGGATTTAATCTCCCTTCCAACCCAACCCATTCCATGGTTCCATGATTGTCATTCCAGGTCTTTGTTCCCTTTGAAAAGCTGCATTATCGAATCACAAGAAAAAGACAAAATTACTGAAGATTTACTTGCAGCCTGTGTGTTTTAGTTCTTCCCTACTGGCAGGGGTTGCTATAAATACCTGGGATGAGTAATGCTCTTTTTTTTTTTCCCCTCCCAAACTTCCTATGGTAAAATAATTTTTTTGATCATCCTGCTGGGAATGGAAAAGAATTTAAGCAGAGGTGGTTTGATATTTGGTGTATTTTTTCTGCTGCTCCAGCTGATTTGTGGCAGAAGACTGGAGTTTCTTTCTTTATTTGAGTACATTTTGGTAGTATCATCTTTCTCCTCATTATAGAATAAGGCTCTTAGGACACTGATATTGTGAGCAAGTTTTTATTCTTGCACACATCTAATTTGGAAGAGAAACATGAATTAAAATGCCAAGTCATACTATTCGTAAAGGAATTTGTAACCTTCATATTATTTTCTGGAGACCTAATAATCAGCTCATTTGGTTTAGCTGAATTACATTTTTCAGCTTTCACACCTGGGAATAACTGATTTGTGAGTGACAGAAAAAAATTCTCTTTTCCTCTGTCCAAAAGGGTTTGGTTTTTTTAATCATAAGATGCTGTATATTGAGAAATATTTTTGCATTTGGCTGCAAGTGAAACACAAACTGGGGTTAGACTTGGAGTTATTCTTGAATATTTTGTGAAGGGAAAAAGACTCAGCCCTGGCTTCCAATTTCCATCAGCTGCTTCAGTCTCCTGCTTATGAAAATAATTTAAGTACCCATGGCATAACTTGAATCTGCTTTTTCCAGTAATTCAAGATGGATTTTTCAAATTCAAGTAAACACTTTGCTGAGGAAAGATCTTGATCTGTATTATTTGATAGAATACTTGGTGAAAACTGTACTGGATCTTTCAGGAATGAGCATTTTCCCAAAGAAATTTAATAGGAATTCTAATTACCAAATACTTGATTGAGTCTATAAGTTTTTATTTTATAGAAACAGTGCCATAGGAAAATAAACCACCTTCAGAAAAAAATATAGACTTGAAACTTGAGAAATTGTAGCATAAATTTCTTGAATTTTTTCCCTTCAGATAAATTTCTAAAAAGAACTTCTCATTGATTAAACTCTTGTTTTTTACATAGTATTTTGTGCTGATTAGACACAGACACCTGCTTCTTTTTACCCAGTAAAAACCTTTTTTTTTTTAGCTTCAGAGAAACTGATATCAGAAAATAAGAGAGCAGGAAGAAGTAGCAGCATGGGGTTTCATCTTCTTCATCTTCTTCATCTTCTTCTTCTTCTTCTCCTTCTCCTTCTTCTCCTTCTTCTTCTTCTCCTTCTCCTTCTCCTTCTCCTTCTCCTTCTCCTTCTCCTTCTTCTTCTTCCTCCTCTTCTTTTTGTATTTTATTTTTATGGGATGTTTGCCCCTGTTTAAGGCCAGAGTATTTTAAGCTGTGGATAACCAAAACTCCCCATATTTTATAAGCAACTTAAGCTGAAATTTATTTAAACCCAGTTGAAACCATGGATACTCATGGATGTAATTTAGGTGGGAGGGTTTTTCATTTTAATAAGCACTTTTCCCATATTTTTTCCTCTACTTTCCACTTCTCATTGCAATCTGGAGGACAGGTTTATAAGCATCACACCAAGGGAAATATCCTCAGGTTAAAAAGGACCAGGGATTGGGAGACAGGGGCACTTGTTCTGCAGGAACTGGTGGAATTTCCACTGTGAAGGGATTAGCAGGATGTGGGTTCAAGGTGCTCTGCAGATCTTAACACTTCCTGGCAAGGTTTTAAAGCCTCAGGCTACTTCAAATTCCATCTTACTTTAAAATGCATTGAAACCTTTTCTTGCCAAGGGTTATAACTCAGGTCAGCGACCATGTTTGTATTCTCATGTTTTCCCATTGTTTTGCTCTCCCTGAGGAATTTATCTCCCATTGTTAACAGCTTTTTCTCTGTGTTTTTTTTTTTTCTTTGACTTTTATACAAACTTCTCTTTCAAATATCAGAGCTGATGCATAGAATAGGGGGCTTAATTTAATTTTGGTAGATGTAGGAAAACAAGTAATTTTTAAGCTGCCTTTTCTCAGATTTGAATATGAGAAAATGAGAAGTTCTAGGAATTGAATCAGTGTCTTGTGTTTTGCAGCACTTCTTCCAGATGCCACATTGGGAAAGGGGATTAACCACTGCATCCTCTCTGAGTTAGAGCCACACAATTGGGTAGAAAAAGTCTGTAAACCTCTGCATTTTCATTTGGGAAATATTTAATGATCTCCATTCCTGGAATTGCATGGATGGCAATGATAAATCCACATAAACCACAGATGAAATACCACAAAAATACAAGTAGCCTCAGAGGACCACATGGCAAAGCTTCTGTGCTCTTTATGCCAGTATCCAGCTTGGTGCCAAACATTTCCTGGGCTTTAGAAGGAAAATAAATCTCTGAAAGCTTCAGATGCTATGTTTCATTAAGTTCTAGCTCAGATTTATTTGGAAAAAGCTTACCCAAAATACCTTCAGCTATTTCTTTGAAAATGCTGGGAAGGCTGTTTGTGGTGGGTTTCCAGCAGAAATTGGGATACAGGTTGGTGCTCAAGTTGGGGAGCAGCCAGACATTCCTGAATTTTTAACCTTTGCCACTCTGGCTTTGAAAATTAATTATTCTGGTTCTAGTGGGAAGTAGTGCTGCTGTTTCCTTCTGCCCTGCACTCTGCTTTGCTGCTTCCAGGGAAAACAAGGTTTTCTAATCACCATTATTTACATGGGCTGGAGCTGGCTTTTTAGGACTTTCCAAACTCTGCAGACCATGTGGATAATTTGTTCTGGATAAAGGCTGTGGCTCTGGATCTGTGGCTCTATCAGGCCACAAGAACAGACTGAAGCTCTGTTTATCTTTTCTGACTTAAATTTATGTGTAAACATTCTTAGTTTTCAAAGGCACTTCCCAGAATTTCCTGCCCTGCCTTGAGTAAGGAAATATTTTGGTGAGGGCCTCAAGGGTCTTAAAGTGAGGGGGATGAATGATGTGTTCCTTTCTTTCTCCCATGAAAAACCTTCAGTTTCTTAGCTCTGATTTATGGTCAGCTTTGCCTTCTTTTCAGGCAGGTGTTAACGAAAATGATTTTTATGATGGTGCTTGGTGTGCAGGAAGAAATGACCCCTACCAGTGGATTGAAGTAGATGCTCGAAGGCTGACTAAATTCACTGGAGTCATCACCCAGGGAAGAAACTCCCTCTGGTCGTAAGTACACCCTGACTTTTCTCCATGGCATTCTGAGCTTTCAGACCCAGGAATTCATGTCCTGATGTGCTTTGGTTCTTCAAGGAAAAAACCCAAAAAAACCAGATTGGAAATGTGAGACATCAAGTCATTGAATGGGGCAACAGTCATTATATATAAGACAAAGTCTATATATATATATTTTTTTTAATTTAAAATTAAAATATTATTTATATATTCTATTCTATTCTATTCTATACTATACTATTATATTATATTATATTAATTATATTATATTATATTTATAGAATATAATATATTTTAATATAAAATCTATAATAAAATCTAATAATATAATATATATTATATATAAAATATATATTAATATAATATAAAATATAATACAGAATATAAAATATATTATATTTATAGAATATAATATATCATAATAATATAAAAGGCAAAGTCATTATCTATAAATAAATATATATAAAATTATAATACAATATATATTTTTGCATCTATATATAAGGCGAAGTCATTATATATGGCATAAAATACAAGTTTAAGGGTAGCAAACTTCTCTAGTCATGATCTACATCTGGGCCTTTACACTCATCCTGTCATATTTGCTTGTGTTAAACTTCCTCCTTCTTTTCCAATATTTAACTTGATTAGCTCAGGTTATAGTTTCAGGGACCTTTTAAATTTAGTTTCAAATAACCATGCTTCTCTGAGATGTCTTAATCCCTAAGTAATCTCCAAGTAATCACTGTAATTCCAAAACAACATGATTTTTATGTGAGCAGATAAAACAAACTTTATAATACTACATATATTTACATACATATTATATATGTGAATATAATATTTATATATTTATATCTATTTAGAATTAATTCAATTTACAATATTAATTACATATCTGCATATAATTATGCAAATATATATATATATAAATATAAAAATATGCTATTTTTGAGCTTTCTGGCCACTGCTTGTGCTAGAGAATGTCTCATGGCACTGAGAAATAAGTGTTCTGCCCAGATTTGTCTGCATTTACTCCTCTGTGACTGTTGTGAATGGTATATGAGGGATACAGGAACAGGAGGGGAAGATTTGGGGTTTTTTCCTGCTCTTTACGTGTTTGTTTGGCCTTTTAATTTGTCAGTGAGTCTCACAGCTTTGTGTGATCAGATAATTCCACTTCTGCTGTTGGACCTTTTGCACAAGTGTGCAGGGGATGCACAATCACTCTGAGAGATCCATTCTGTCAGAACCCTCCCTTAGAAAATGAATGTGACATGTAATTGAAGGTAAACCAGAAAAAATGTCATTATATCGTAGAAAAATCATATTTTCCTTTCAACTGTGGTTTTTTTTTTCTTTTTTTTTTTGTTTAATTTCTTTTAATGTGCTTGTGGGAGTAGGTGCTTATTTGGCAATAAGTTTTCTATATTTATTCCACATTGTTCTGTGGTAGGTAGGTAGGTAATTACTGTAGTGAAGCCTTGCTCTTTTCTTTATTCATCCTCTTGACATTGCTGTTCCTCTCAGCGCCCGAGCTGCACTGCTTCATCCTGTCATGCTTCTATTTTTAGTTCAGCTCTGTTAGGAGTTTACAGCACATCTTGACACTCTATTTATGGCTGGTATTCTCACTCATCTTCAGGTTTTGGGGAGTTTTTTTGAACCACAGAAACACTGAGTCACAGAAAGGTTTGGGTTGGGATGGACCTTCAAGATTGTTGAGTTCCAACTCCCCTGCCATGGGCTGGGAATTTTGGGTTTGCTTCTTTCCCCATAAAAAAATTGGTGGGCAGAGCCCTGAGGGTCTGCAGGAAGAGCAGGATTGGTGCTGGCAGAGCAGGACCAGGCTCCTCCTGGATTACTGCTGAGATTTGAGGAGATCCAGGCCCATTTCTGCCTGCCAGGAGCAAAGATGCTTCCACCAGGACCAGCTGTGCTGTGGGGCAGGTTAATGTCTCCTGAAAACACCTCCTGGAGGACTCAGCTGTGCCCCATGGAAGGAGCAGGGCAGTGGGGAGAAACAGTCCCAGAAAGGGACAGAAAGAGAGGAGTGGGAGTTGTTTTGGGGTGGACAGGTTCCTTTGTGCCTGTTTGGCTCAGAAATCAAAGGAGATTCGTCAGCTTCCTTCCCTGACCCTCAGCTGCTGACGGGGATGGTTTCAAAAGGGATTGTTTGTGATGGGAAAGTTTGTACCAAAAGATGCCCTTCTTTTACCTGAGGCACCTTCCCAGCTTTCTGAGGCTGTGTGACAAGAAGAGAGTGCTTTCATGACTGATGGAAACATATGCTGGGGAATAATCTTATTGTAGGTATGAGAGCCAAAAAAACACCTCTCTGATCTGTGTTGTATTAGAAGTGAAAACCTGCCAAGCAGGGGAGCTGAGGCAAGATTTTTATTTAGTCCAAAGCCTTGGAGACTTTCCCAGGTTTATATTTTAAAAAATAAAAAAAAAAAAACCAAGGCACTGAAGGAGGGCAGGCTTATATTAGATATTAGGAAGAAATTCTTTCCTGTGAGGTTGGGCAGGCCCTGGCACAGGGAAGCCACAGAGCAGCTGGGGCTGCCCCTGGATCCCTGGAGATCCCTTGGACATTGGGGCTTGGAGCCACCTGGGACAGTGGAAGGTGTCCCTGCAATGGCAGGGATGGAACAGGATTATCTTCAAGATCCCTTCCAACCTAAAGCATTCTGTGATTCCATGACACTGGGATAAAGAACCACTAAAACCAACTCTTTTTATTGAACAAGAATCTTTAACAAAAAACTGTACTTCACTGGAAGATGTGCCTAGATCAGATTTGTACCTGTCCTGGTCCTTGCAGTTTCCTGCTGCTGACCTGCTGAGGACATTTAAAATGCCAAGGGAGGGCAGGCAAGAACACCCTGCTGGATCCTCTCCCAGACATCTTTGCCCCTCACTGCAAAGCTGCAACACTTGAGCTCCCAGCAGCGTGGCCTTTACTCCCTGTGTGTGATGCTGCAGCCAGAGCTCTTTTTCTGCTGCTGGATTCATTGGATTCATCCTTTTCCTCCTGTGGGGCAGCTCTGGCACCTGGAGCCTGGTGACCACTCTGATCAGATATAATTATTTATATCTATTTATATATATATATTTATATATATATAAATTTCTGTCCCCCAGAAATAAATTATTATATATATATAATTTTAATTATATATATATATATATGTGTTATACATATTATATATTATATATTATTTTATTATATATATTATATATATTAATATAATAGATATTATATAATTATATATATAATTATATATATTATATATAATATATATTAATATAATCTATATATTATATATTATAATTTCTTTCTATATTTCTATATATATATAAATATAGAAAGAATTATATTCTAAATATATAGAAATATATTCTAAAATATATTTTATGATTTATAGATTATAATTTTTCTTTCTAATTATATATATTATATAATCAAATATATAATATAAAATTTATAAAAGGCAAAGTCATTATATATATAAATAAATATATAATAAAATAATAATATATATTTTTTATATATATTAAAGGCAAAGCCATTATATATGGCATAAAATAGACATTTAAGGGTAGCTTAAGGCTGCTCCCATGCAGCTTTGCTCACTGGGGGCTTTTTGGGCTTTCTGGTCCATGATGAACTGAAGGTTGCACTGCACACAGTGCAAAAAAGCACAGAAATGCTTGGGGTTTCCATTGCCTGTGCACTGGCAGGAGCTGCTTCTGCTCAGCCCTTCCTCCCCTGCTGTTCCCTGTCTGTCCTTGGGGGTTGTGCCTCCCCTTGTCCATGCCAGGCTGGAGACAGGAGAGCCTTCAGGAGGAAGAGGAGTTGCAGAAGCAGCTCTTGGAAACACAGATGACCTGATGGGAGGGAAGGAAACTGAGCCTGGTTTTAGTGAATACTTGGATTATTTCATCATTTCCTTTTTGAGGAAAAGCACTTCTGAGTTGAATTTTTTTGCTCGGCTGTGAATTCTGTGAATCAGATTTTTCTCCTCTCTTTTTTAAGCCTGAAACAAGCAAAAACAGGCTTGGAACAAAAAAATCCTGGATTTGAGGAGTCCTTCCTCTTACCAGTCAAAGGAAGCACATGAGCTTGAGGGCTGCTGCTGTTCAGGCACCTCAGTCATTCCTGGGAAACCTGAAATCAGGGAAAAGTGTTCTTTTGCCACCATAAATGGGCAGATCTGCTTAGATCATCCAGAAGATCTGCAGATGATGAATTCCACAGAAAAAGTGGAGCCCAGCTGCAAGAAACAGGACTTCTTTTTGATTTTTACACTGAAGATATCAAAAAATCAGGAGTGCCACAAGTGCTGGCTAATAGGAATAAAATCCAATGCCTTGAAAGTGAGCAGGATATCTGTTCCTTTGGGGGAGAATTAATATACATAAAAATGATATGTAATTCTTAATAATAAGTACTTCTTAAGTAATAATAATATATGTATAATAATAAATGTAATAATAATATATGTAATTCTTCATATTGCTGCCAATACATCTTCTAGTTTCAGGAACCAAATATCTTTAAAGAACAGTTCAAGGCTGTAGAGTGGGACACTGGAAGCATCGCTGTGGAATTGTGCCAGGGATTTAAAGCAGTGATGTGGTGGTTTAAAATATGCACTCTCTTGACAGAGGGAAAGAAACTATTAATCACTCTTAGCAGTTTGGCAGGAATTTGAAAAACAGAGTAAACTTGTTTCCCACAAGCCAAACTCTCTTCTGATAATTCAGCATCATCTTTTGTATCAAGAGAAAACTCACATGTCAAAGTAGAGTCAGTGTGTGCTGACAGTAACATAAAGCTTCAGGCTGTGTGAGTGCAGAGGATGTTTTGGTTTTCAGGAGAGGATGTAATGCTGCAGTGAGTGAGATGTATTTTCTAAAAATTAACCTTTCAGTCATGGTAAGTTGTGAACTATCACCCCACGCCATGGAATGACAAAATGACAACA